CTTCTCTTTGAATGAAGAAAATACTACAGAATTTCATATTGTCATTTCCGTACAAATAATGACTGGCTGAGCACCAGAGCAGGTACCAGAGACCATGAAATCAACCCTCTTAACTGAAGGAAAATCTACTGTTTAGACAGCAGATACTAGGCTCAGTGTGGCTGCTCTTCTTTCCAAAACTGCTACGCCCTTCAATGTGAAAGTCATTAAAATGCAACTGGCTGCTGTTTGAAATATAAAATGTATATGTTTATATATGTATATGATTATAGGACTAGTTTCATTCAGTTTACAGTGCAGCTGTGAAGAACAAAGGAATGGTTATGGTTTACTAGTTCATAAATCCTCAGACTGACATAGAGTTTAACTCCATCTTGAAGTCATATGAGTCATAACAGTTATGGGCTATGCTTGAAGCCCCTTGCATATCCTTCCCATGAAAGGAAAGAGTAGGATATGTTTTGACACAGTCTCCTCACAGGTAATCTCTGAGACTGTAGTATGAGTGGTTAGATGGGAGAGAGCTAGCGAAACTTTATGATCAAGCACTGTTTAATTAAAATTGTTTATCAAGAAGGTCTTGTTGATCACTCTAACAAAGAGCAAATTCAAAAACCAGTACTTTTTAATTACTTTTATTTTAATGCAAGACTGATTTATTTGTGGAAAGGGAAGGCTTTTGTAGCAACTTATATTGGCTTTTCTTAAGTTCCTTGACATAATTTACAGTGTCAAAATAATTGTGTAACTTACAGTTTAAGTATTATATCAACATTCAGGAAGCACAATGGGAGTTTTGATACAAAACTTATATGTTGCTACTGCTAGGTTTTGCTGAAGTAATTAAAATGACCAAAATGGGAATTACTTTATACCATGTGTAAAATGATCAAAAGTATATGTTTGTTTCTTTATGAAAAGTAACACATGGCATGTTACTTTATTTGTCAGCGCCTTCACAGTTTTCTGACTTTACCTAGGATGGGTGACCTGCTTTAGGACTCATCTTCTTTTATAATTTTAACTTTCTTTTTGAAATGTTGCCCTTTTAAGAAAGTTACTGATCAGAATAGCCTTTTGAAGATATTGATTCATCTTGCTTTTACTTCAAGATAGGTGTTTGAAAATGACAATCAACTTGTTTAAACAGAAAAACAACCCACAAAACCAAAACAACAACAAAAAACCCCAAACCCCAAACCCAAACAAAAAAACACACCAAAAAAGCCTAACAAAGAAAACCATTCAAAAGTACAGCCACCAGCAGGATATTAATGTCTGTGGATGATTAGCAATCAACCTGGAGAAGTAACAAATGTATCACAGAGCTCCTTTATCGCAGGGAAGGAAACCCTCCAACAAAACACTTGATATCTACACCCTACAATGCTACCCAAAATATGTTATAAGATATAAACATATTTTCTAATCTTTCTACCCAAGGCTAATTTTCATTTGGAAAACATAAGAAAGTAACAGAATAATTAAAACTTACAGTATAACAGATGAAGTAATGCAGGATTCTAGATTAATTCCAGTAGTTCCAATGTCAACATCAGTAACCTGAAATACTGTCTAACAATTCTGAAGATGTAGTATACCCCCTGAAAATCATAATAGAATTATCCAATGAGAAAGACATCTAATTAGAGATACTTCTAGTTTTTCAGTAGAGTTTGGAATGCTAATGCTGTGGTTTGTTATAGGATGCAAGAGCAGGTATAGTGATGTTGAGGCAACCGTTTAGCTGCTTACATGTGCGGTCACATTTTTTTTTTCCTTGTTAGAAAGTTTTATTCATGTATTTATAGTAATCAAGAAATGGATTTTAAAGCAGTTATGCCATCTACAGAATTGTTTGTAATTATGAAGAACTGTAATCAACAGTTGTGATCTGTCTGATTAGTAATTTTTAATCATAAGCAAAGAAGAAAACATAGTTGTATTGTAAATAAAAGTAATTGAACTCCATAATCTGGCTTGTGTTAAAATGTGTGCCAAGAAGAAGTTGGTATGGCTTAGGCTGGTTGATTAGAAATGTAAGAGCACATCGATTTGCCCAGGTTTCAAATGATCTAGGCATATAAGGGTGTCTCTCTGTGCTGCTTCGTTATTGTCCAATCTTCCATCTTGTATGATCAGCACTGAAATAGTGTCCTACAGTGGTGTCTTGTGAGCATGTTTCTTGGTTTTTTGCATTTATTGTTTTTGTCTAATAAAAGCTAAAACTACCTGAAGTACACCACAAACCAAACCAAAACCTAAACCTTGTCTTCTCTCATTTACATGCACAGTTTGGGTCACCTTGGTCTTTTCTGCAGCTGGTTTCTCCCCTTCTTAGTAAGGCTGCTTTCTCTGACCTGGGGGCAGGCTGAAACAAGTCTTTTTTGATATGTTGCTGGACTTGGCAAAAAGTGTATATAGAGAATAAATTTATTTACTTCTGGTTAAAATAACTACTCTTTATTTTCTCAGTTGGTGCTGTCATCACATTAATAAAGTGATCAGAAACATCCATTAGAATTCATATTTCTAATGAAGCTGTATTTATTTCTCTGTTTTTTAATGAATTTTGTGCTGCTTTCTGAGCTGACAATAAAGATCTATTTATTTAGGTATGTTTAAATACGGTTCTAGAAGTTAAGTGGGGTAAACATCTAGCCATGGCATTAATTATGAAGAAGTACTTTTGACCAGGATGAGTCTTTGCTACCTTTGGTATATTATTTTTCTGTTTACAGTTCTAAGTTTTCCTTTACCACAGCCCGGAAGATTATCAGTTAATTTGACTTGGTGTTTGGGTGATGTTAAAAAGAAATCTTGTTTTTCTCCTAAGAAACCATCATATTTTTTCCTATAAGCATTGCTTTGTTTGATAAATATCTCATTCCCAGGAGTTTTCAGATGCTGTGTTATTGTGGTGCTATGGTTTAGCATCACATTGCTCTCACTAGATAATGTGCTGTTCTCAAACAGCACTGCAGTATTTGCAAGCAGTCTGAATGAAATGGTGAGTTGCTCTTGAGATCCAGCCCCAAGGTTGTGTGGGTAAAGAAGAATGTGTCTCTCCACCCGACAGCTTCCCCATGTGCATTTGCACCAGTTTTCTGCAGTTGTAGAATAGCATAGCGAGGCCTTTATGAACACAGTGACATTCACCAAAGTCACCACAAGTAGGTAAACAGTATCCAGGTCTTGACCAAAACAAGTGTCAGAGTGCTTGGGGTAAGAAAACATCAATATTCCTGACAAATTTGATCACAGTCTATCTGTATGGCATGTTTTAGAATATTGAAGGGCAATTTTGGCAACTACATCCTTGAATCATCCCCTTGATAAAGTTTAGACAAAAGAGGAATGTGAATGGTCAGTACTATGAAAATAACTCGATACCCATGTGCTTTATAACTAAACCTATTTCACAGTAGGAAAATTAGATGTATAGTTTTGATTAGACATAAAAATGGAAGAAAGGAAAAACAAGTTATGTTTCTTTCTTAAACTGATGTGTTACTGTGTAACATGAATCTTCTTTTCCCCTCAGTCTTTTATATAAACAGTTTCCTTAGCACTTTACCTAGTGCTTTTCAGGTTCAAAGCCCTTTACACAAATTATTGTAATTAGTTCTCACATCTCCTCTGGGAGAGGTAAGTAAATATCATTATCCTCATTTTTACAGATGGGGACTCTCATCTGGAGAGGTTAAGTAACTTGCCCAAGGCCACAAGGGGGAATATTGTCATAGCTGGTTCTGGAAACTCTAGAGCTGTTATATCCTCAGTCCATTACTTCATTTGCTAGATGGCAGCTCAAGTTGTTGATGGTTATTCCTGCATTATAGAAATACATTCTGTGTTTTTACTCCATGTGTCTTAGCAATAATTTAAGCAAGGAATAAATTGGATTTTCTGTACTTAGATTTTTAGCATACCAACACAGACTCTTTCAACAGAAATGCCAGGTTACTTTCCTGGTATGCCTATAATTAAGTAGAAAAGGTAGTAGATATTGCCCGTCACAGTTTTTCCACAGGATGCTCCTGTTACTTTATCAGTTCAGGTCATGTTATGCCTGTACCTCTGCTTTATTGGAGATGCAGAAAGTGTTACCTGTGGAGATTTTTCCAAGCTATGTATGTTGAACCTCAGAAAAATAAAAATACCGTAAAAATACAAGCACACTGTGTGTGCTTCTGCAGAGAACTCTTTTTCTTACATAAAGAAGTTACAGAAGCAGAGATCTGTGGGTTGGTATTTAAAAAATTCAAAATACTACACAGCTTTTGTAGTTGTGTTTTGCAGGCTGTTGTATTGCTTGTCTAAAAAAGAGTTCTATGGCTTGGTCTCACCCCCCAGCTACAGGATGTTTAAGGAATTGAGTTTGCTGTTTGAATTTTCTGTTTCTTGAATTTTGAGAATGTAAAGAGTTGGAGGGATTCAGAAGACTAGTCAATATTGTATTTTAAAAGGATAATGGAGGGAAAAGAATAGGAAGGAATATTGATACTTTAGAAATATATTGCATGTTTCTAACAGCTATACCATGAAATATGGAAATGTAGCCAAGATATATATTGTATATATAATGTTAGTACCACTAGTGTTTCTTACTTTCCACAGTGATACACTTGCTGTTAGACTGTGCTAACATTTGCACAGTGATACAGTGCAGGATGCTGTGAGACTCAAGTTACCAATAAGTGGGTAAATGGCTGAACACTTCCAGGTGTCCAGTCAGACAAGAAGTGATGGAGGACAAATGGGAAGGGGGAAGTCTTTTAAGGAAGCTTCTCTGAGCAGTAGTTGTAATGATTAGGATGAGAACTCAGGATGGAGCTCATACCCTCTTTTGTTCAGTCAGACCTTTCCTTTGCTAACTTGAGCTTGAATTATTGTGAGATTTTTTTGTCGTCTTTTCCTAGTGTCAGAGGGAGAGATGTTGGACTTTATTGATTTACCCACACAGACAGAGGCACTTGCTTTTTTCTGATATTTCATAGGTGGTGTGGTATTTCTCTGTGGGGCTGGTGGGTGCTACACAAGAGCCATCAGAGACCTGCACCCTGCTTCTGGGAGATGCTTGGTGGACTCAAGGGTATGTTTGACAGCACCACATGCCTTGTTGGGCCCTCTCTGATGTTGTGTCCTGAGTCTTTTAAGATGCTTAACAGGTTATAAACCTCTTTCTCAATTACCTTGCACAGACATTTATACCAGAATGGAAAGATGAAAAAAGAGGAAGGAACCCAAGCAAGAGAGTGACATAACACACTTTGTGAATCTAAGTGAAGGGAAAAATACTGAGTGTTTTGCCAGACATTCTGGAAGCTATGTGCTCAACATATGTGCAGCAAGAGAGATTTGATCAGTTACCAACAAGGTGGGAAAATCAGTCATCGGTGAAAGTGTTAGGTAATTTTTCATCCTACTGATTAAACCAACCAGGGTATTCACAGATAGTTAGTATGTAAAGCTTGAAAAATTAAATTGCCATTGGCTAACTATCCCACCTTCCTTCCAGACACACATGCTCCCTTTTATATTGAGCTATGGATTATTTTGTCTGTATATTCAAACAAAACATGTCCATGATGAATCAGATCACGTGTAACTGTAATATGTGTTACCAAAAGCATGTTCTTCCAAACAGCATCCTATTCTTTGATTTTAAAATGCATGCATTTATTTCAATATGATTTGCAAGGGTTTTATTCTGTTAGCTATGCTGAAAACGTTGATCCTTTTTATTTTTTTGCAGCATGAATATAATTGATGAGCCAGGATTATCATTAAGTATTTGTGTGAGCCAAAAATAAATACTCTTTCTGTCTTTGGATTTTACCAATTAAAGGAATTAACTATACATATTAATAAGTTAAATTTCCCCATTTCCCTACACTGAAGTCACCAAGGTTTGGTTGCTTTTGAAACATCATCTGTAACTCTTGCTAGTGAAACTTCAGTGATATATGATTATTCTCTGTTAGTATGAGCTGAAGGTATTCTTCACTTTGCTTTGCTGTAGTGGCTGTCATAGCTTGTTATATGAGATCACTGCAAGTAGCTCAAGACTTTGATTAACTGTATTTTTTTTCTTTTACAAACTCTTTGGCATTTTTTAGGTGATGAATATGCTTCAGAAAAAACCCGAAGATTTATGTGTTAGTAATGAAGAGGTTAGTGTGAATTCATGTTGTCTGGCTTATGACTCTCTCTCTTTTCTGGTTCTGTGTCATCACTGACAGCAGAACCAGCATTGTCAACCTCATGCCCCCTGCAGTTATATCTCAACTGCAAAAACTATGGGAGTAACACAGGTGGCCAGATACAAAGTTTCAAAATTAAAAAAAAATCAGCTTCACAGATTTTTTTCTATAACAGTATGCAGCAGAAGGACAGATACTAATACAGGGCTACTGAAAAGGCAAAGGAGAAGCTAAAATATGAAAGTGATAAATGCAAAGATTGTTTAGATAAATGTTGAACATTTTGGAAACTTTTAATCAAGTGTAGGTGATCTTCTTTTTTAAACAGAAAAGAGAATTTTAAAAAGAAGCTGCACATTCCTGTTTTCTCTCTATTGTGAGCTTCTTGCAGACAGATAGGAAGGCCTGTTGATTAGAAAAGTGAACATCACTCTGCCAAATTCACCGTCAGAATCAGAAAGAGAAGCCAGGGAGCCAAAGCAAAAAATCCCCAGTACTGATTATATCAAGATCAGGAGTCCTTGATAATGGATCCATAGGTTAAATCAGAGCAAATGATAAGCTAAGATCAGAAGTCAGATACCTGCAACAGGAGCAAACACAGGAATGAAAGGAGTGAATAAGGCAGTGAACTCATCCTGCTGCTCAGAGGTTTTCCGTGTGGCTGTCTGTTGACTCCTTGGGGTAGGTCCACTTCCAGGTATCAGTAGCAGCAGCTATGATACCTGATTCACCTCCAGGCAGACAATGAGTCATTGTCCATATGTGATAGGGTCTTTAAAAGTCATGGCGTCAGAAGAAATTATTGCGGCCTTGCAGAAGACAACAATTTCCATGCCAAACCCACTTTTGGGCTGCTGTGCAAAATTTTGAACAAATGTTTGGAAACAAAAACTGTTTTCAACTGCTGTTCTTTCTCAACCAAACGTTATCTTAGGACAAATATACAGGGAGAGTAACAGGACAAAGTGGTGAACCATAGTGTTGACATTTTAAATGCTATATTCACTTCTCACCAAAGAATTACATTCCTATCATGTCCAACGCTAAAGTTTAAACACTTCTCGGGAAGTCCTTTTTCTTTGTGAAATCTGTGGTGCTGCTTTGTAATACTAGCTTGAGTAACAGCAACAATGTGGCTTGGAGGTTTAATAGATTGTATGCTACATAAGGAGTAATTTTAATCAGTTTTTAGTGTCTAGATACTCTTGGCAAGGTAAACGATTGCATCCTTTCAGGTAATGTTTTCTTGGATTGTAATACATAAATAAAAGGCAAAGCAAACTAACCTGCCTGGGCACTTACTGGAATCATCTTCCTTTTTGTCAAGGTTGCTTGGTTTTAGTGTGATTATTAACTGTTATCTCACATTAAGTGCAGAAATACACAATCCTTTATCGCCTTACTTCAGAGCTAAAAATATCCAAACCCTCTTATTTATTTGTATATACGGGCACGATGGACCGGGCAGTCACTTCTTAGACTTTAACGACCAATGCAAGTATTCATATGAGATGATTTGAATCTTTCCCTGGCTTTTAAAGAGAGATGGATCAAACTTCAAATGAATCATTCTGATAGAAAAACTTAACAACTGAAAAATAGTCAGATATCATATAATATATACTAAACTTACAAAAATGAATCATGTAACAACAAAAATGGGTGTTATGATTACTAGCTTTGTCAATTCCCAAATGTCAGAAGTCAAGCAGGCTAAGCAGGAGGCCGACTTGGCTGAACAGGAATCTTCTCTTGGAAATAAGGCAAAAAAAAGAAGGTGTATGCCCAGTGGAAGCAAGGTCAAGTGACATGGGAAGAATTCAGAGATACTACTTGCCATTGTAGGGAGAAAATTTGTGCGGTCAAAGCTCAGCTGGAGTTGAAGCTGGCCAGAAATGTGGAGGACAATAAAAAGTTTTTTCAAATACATTAATGGCAGTATAAAAGTAGCATTGTCCCGTTACAGGACAAACAGGGACAGAGACAAGACACGCATGTTTAATGCTTTCTTTCCTCTGTCTTCAATGCGGATGATGGACCAAGGGGGTCTCAGTGCTCTGAGCTGGAGGACCATGACTGTGAGAATGACCAGCTCCCAGCTGACCCTGATATTTGTGTGGGATCTACTGCTCCAGCTGGATCCCTACAAATCTATGTGGCCTGATGGGATTCATCCCAGAATCCTCGGGGAGATTTCTGGTGTCATTGTAAAACTTCTCATGATGCTTACTGAGCAGTCTTGGGAATCCAGAGAGGTCCCAGCTGACTGGAAGCTGGTGGACATTGTCCCAGTTTTCAAGAAGGGCAAAAGAGGACTCCAGAAACTACAGACCTGTCAGTCTCGCTTCAGTGCCTGGTAAAGTTGTGGACAAGATTACTCTGGGAAGTACTGAAAAACACCAGAAAGGCAATGCAGTCATTGGTGACAGACAGCATGGCTTCATGAGAGGAAAGTCCTGCTTCTCCAACCTGATTTCCTTCTATGACAAGGTAACCCACCTAGCTGACTAAGGGAAGCAGTTGATGTCATCTTTTTGGATTTCAGTAAAGCTTTCAATACTGTCTCTCACAGGATCCTTCTGGACAAACTGTCCAGCACACAGGTGGATAAACACATCATCTGGTGGGTGAGCAATTGGCTCATGGGTCAAGCACAGAGGGTAATAGTGAATGGGGTAACATCAGACTGGTGATGTCACTAGTGGGGTCCACAGGACTCCATCTTGGACCCTGTGCTCTTCAACATCTTCATAAATGACTTGGACACAGGACTGGAAGGGATACTAAGTAAGTCTGCAGATGACACAAAACTGGGAGGAACTGTTGAGTCCCTCAAAGGTAGGGAGGCCCTGCAGAGAGACCCCAACAAATTAGAGGACTGGGCAATCACCAACCGTATGAAGTTCAACAAGGGACAGTGCTGGATTCTGCACCTGGGATGGGGCAACCCTGGATGTTCGTACAGACTGGGGAATGAGATGCTGGAAAGCAGTGCCATGGAAAGGCACCTTGAGGTCCTGGTCGACGGCAAGTTGAATGTGACTCAGCAGTACCCTGACAGCCAGGAGGGTCAACCATGTCCTGGGGGGCATCAGGCAAAGCATCACCAGCCAGGTGAGGGGGGGGATTGTCCCGCTCTGCTCTACTCTGCACTGGTGTTGTCTCACCTTGAATATTGTGTGCAGTTTTGGGCACCACAATATAAGAAAGATATTCAGTTTTTAGAGAGTGTCCAAAGGAGGGCAACAAAGATGGGGAAGGGCCTTGAGGGGAAACTGTATGAAGAGTGGCTGAGGTCACTTGGTTTGTTTAGCCTGGAGAAGAGGAGACTGAGGGGAGTCTCCTCATTGCAATCTACAACTTCCTTGTGAGGGGAAGTGGAAGGGCAAACACTGATCTCTTCTCTGTGGTGACCAGTGAGAGGACCCTTGGGAATGGCCTGAAGTTGTGTCAGGGGAGGTTTAGATTGGATATTAGAAAAAGGTTCTTCACCCAGAGGATGGTTGGATACTGGAACAGGCTCCCCAGGGCAGTGGTCACAGCACCAAGCCTGACAGAGTTGAAGAAGCATTTGGACAATACTCTCAGGGACATGGTGTGGCTCTTGGGCATGGTCTCAGACTAAGGGCTGGACTCGATGATCCTGATGGGTCCCTTCCAACTCAGCATATTCTGTGATTCTGTGAAGGAAATTGGCGTTGCAAGGAACAGTCCAATTACTTGAAGAGCTCTAATAAATAAGCATAAGTAATCTATCAAGTATTACTCTTCAATTTTCCTATGTAAAAACTTAATTTGGTGTGAATTATGGATGAAGTCATACCTGCTGCAGGAATGACAGCCTGTGAGACTACTGAATGATAGTTACACTACTGATGACATTTCATATAGCCCTGCCTGGTAGAACTATAGCTTATATTGTAAGTTGCATAGGGAGAGGGAGAGACAGCTTTTTCAATGCCTTGTTTTATAACCTTTTGCTTCAACATACCAATTTTTACAGGACACTGATTTCTTTTTTTGAACATGCAATACACAAGTTTAAGCTTAATTTCTGCAGGTAAATGGTGACAAACAGTTTTGAAAACCTTTTTATATGTTATTTCTGTAAGCTAAACTTTGTCTCTTATTAAAATGGGAAAGTACTATTCTTTTCCTTTGCAAGTAAAATTTGTTTTTAGCAGAAAGAAAGAGAGAATATGGAGCAGCATACCACTTTATTTGAATACAAGTGAAAATACATTCTTCAAATAGCTGGGCTCCTGTTTTTACTATGGTGGGTAACCTAAGGACCATTGTGCAGAACTAAGGTACAAGCCTGTGTTAACTCAGTTCTTCTCACAATTTAGGATGTGTATACAGGATAAAATTACAGAGAAGATTAATATAAAAGCTGTGAAGTCAAGCAGTAAAACCTAAGCAGTGCTGACTGTTATGTTACCCAGGCAACTTTCTTTCCATTGTCTTCATACATTAGGACAGGGTTCTTTCCCTATGATCATACAGGAATAGAAATAAATTTTTGTTTCTTGATCAATGTCTCTAGTCTCCAAAGATTATTCTCAGTCTTCTCGCAGTCCTCAGTGTTGTTTACTGCCCATTTCATTATCCAGCTGAGATGGAGGACTGAAAGCGTAATATATAATTAAGACCCATGAGAAAGCTAAATTAAGGTTGTATCTTGCTCTATATGGTACCAGTAAAATGCAAAACATTACTGATACGCATGTTGGAGGAAATGGATGTGGAGTTCATGGTGTTATTAGTTTTGTGCCAGCTTTCTCTAGCAAGAATAACAGGTCAGACTTAGGATCAGCCACAGCTAGTAACTTTTAATAGCTTCAGCCTGACCAAATTTGCATGTATTTTCATGGATCAGTGCTTTTGACTCCTTTCTTATATCCCTTCATATTTTAAACAAAACAAGTGGACTAGAAAGAGTGTGAGGGAAGTGGAGGAGGGAGGTT